AAAGTATTCAGTTTTTTTTTTTTTTGTACCCTTTTTTAGATGTTTTTGATTTGGGAAGAATGTGTCAAATTTGAGTCTTAGGTCAACGAGGATCGATGAATGTTCTTACTCCATTACTCGGATTTCAAAAAAACAGTTCATTATCCAAATGATTTCGAGAGAAATTGTGGAAACAGACATCACATTTATTTTTGTGCTCTAAATATTTTGGTTTTTTTGGGTTTGGTGCTTGAAATGATTTTGATGATAATTGTTAATTTGATGTACTTATATGTGAAAACAGGTGTTGGGATTCATGAGTTGAGTCACAGGGAAAAAAAGCATGTTCGACTGTGCCAAAAAGGCAGTGAAATCACAAGTAATCAGTGGCCAACTCGAGAAGTTTGTAAGGTAACTAGTTAATAAAGATTCTTGCACAATAATCTTCTCTATATTCATATAGTTGATCAAAATCTTGGTCTAACTTGGTTTATAAGGTTTTAAGCACTCCTTTACTTCAGGTTTGAAAATAAAAGATTTTTAGGTTATTTTGTTCTTCACAGGTTAGATAGTATGGATTCTAGGTACTCGCAGACTTCTGAGACAACTCTGAACAAATGCACACTCAATTTACAAGGACCAACACGTGGTGGTGGTCAGGGAAAAAATGCATCATCTGGTTCGTTTAAGAAAGGATTTAGGAGTGGTTCTAAAGGGCTTTGGTCTATAGGAAGATCGATCGGACTCGGGGTTTCGCGGGCGGTTTTTCCGGAAGATCTTAATGTATCAGAGAAGAAGATATTTGATCCACAGGATAAGTTTTTGGTGCTGTGTAACAAGCTGTTTGTTACTTCTTGCATTCTCGCGGTATCTGTGGATCCGCTCTTCTTGTATCTTCCGTTTGTTGATGAGAAAGAGAAGTGTATTGGCATAGACAGGAGATTGGCTATCATTGCTACAACGTTGCGGACACTAGTCGATGTGTTTTATCTTTTTCGCATGGCTCTCCAGTTTAGAACAGCCTTTGTCGCCCCTTCTTCTCGGGTTTTTGGGCGAGGCGAGCTTGTGATTGACTCTGCGCAGATAGCCAAGCATTATTTGATGCAGTATTTCATCGTTGACTTTCTCTCCGTGCTTCCGCTTCCACAGGTACTTATAGGATTCTCTCCAAGTTCTCTCATTTCCATTGGTTTTTTTTTTTCTCAAACTTTGATGACTAGTTTATGTTATTATCGGTTTTTCCAGGTTGTAGTTTGGAGATTTCTTTACACCTCGGGAGGTGCAAATGTGCTGGCAACAAAGCAAGCGCTGCGATGTATCATTTTAGTTCAATATATTCCGAGATTTGTTCGGATATATCCTTTGAGCTCAGAGCTAAAGAGAACAGCTGGTGTTTTTGCTGAAACTGCTTGGGCTGGTGCAGCTTATTACTTGCTACTCTACATGCTTGCTAGTCATGTTAGTACTTGCTATTTTTGGTACCTTTCACTCTTTTATCCTTAAATCAATCCATTCCTAACTATCTGTTACTGAAATTATTCTTCAGATTGTTGGGGCTTTGTGGTACTTACTGGCCTTAGAACGCAACAATGCATGCTGGAGCAGGGCTTGCCGCCGTAATAGCCCGAACTGTACCAGAAACTTTCTCTTTTGTGGAAATCAAATTTTGGATGGTTATGCTGCTTGGAGTACCATCAAAGATTCTGTTCTTCAGATTGATTGTCCGGTTAATGTGACTGATGGCGACAATCCTCCTTTCGACTTCGGAATCTACTTAAGAGCCCTGTCCTCTGGCATTGTCTCATCTAATAGCTTTGTCTCTAAGTACTTCTTCTGTTTGTGGTGGGGACTTCAGAATCTCAGGTACGTAATTGTAAAAGAATTCGTCTCTATAGTCATTATAACAGGTCTCTGTTGCATTAGTAACCTCATCGATGTCAAATGCAGTACTCTTGGTCAAGGGCTTCAAACAAGTACATATCCAGGAGAAGTTATATTCTCCATAGCACTTGCCATTGCTGGACTTCTACTCTTTGCTCTTCTCATTGGAAATATGCAGACTTATCTTCAATCCCTTACCATCCGTCTTGAAGAAATGAGAGTGAAAAGACGCGACTCAGAACAGTGGATGCATCATCGGATGCTTCCACCGGAACTGCGGGAACGAGTCAGACGATATGACCAGTACAAATGGTTGGAGACACGCGGAGTTGATGAAGAGAATTTAGTTCAGAACCTCCCAAAGGATCTGAGAAGAGATATCAAACGCCATCTCTGTCTGGCTTTGGTTCGGAGGGTAAGTTGAATCTACTTTAAATGCCTTTTTCTCAGAATCAAACCATAATGTGTTCATTATTTTAATTTTTTATGGAAAGGTTCCATTGTTTGAGAATATGGAAGAGAGGCTGCTCGATGCAATATGCGAGCGGTTGAAGCCGTGTCTGTACACGGAGAGCTCTTATTTGGTTCGGGAAGGAGACCCGGTTAACGAGATGCTCTTCATAATCCGTGGTCGGCTTGAGAGTGTGACCACCGATGGCGGGAGAAGTGGTTTCTTCAACCGCAGTTTGCTTAAAGAAGGAGATTTCTGCGGTGAAGAGCTCTTGACATGGGCACTTGATCCGAAATCCGGTTCCAACCTACCATCCTCCACCAGAACCGCAAAGGCTCTAACAGAAGTAGAGGCTTTCGCTTTGATAGCCGATGAGCTCAAATTCGTGGCTAGCCAGTTCAGGAGGCTACACAGCAGGCAAGTTCAACATACTTTCAGATTCTATTCACAGCAATGGAGGACTTGGGCTGCTATATTTATACAAGCTGCGTGGCGACGATACAT